GTACCATACCAATTACACGAAGAACGAACTAATAACCTAACTAATAATACTAAAACTAACAAACCTAACGAGTTTTATTTAGTCACACGACACTAGTAACGTAAATACACAGACTATCCAAGCTAGGAGAGGAATAGAATGATAATGCCTTTATTGTTGAGGACAGACTCACTTCATCAAACGCAATATTTCACAAACCATCCAACTGAACAGCTCAAACACATCTTGGGGGACACCAAGATGCAGCAAAGATGTCATCATTGAATTACAACATTCGAGACTTCTTATAGGGTTGCTCTGGAATACAGAAACCGAATTTTCAATGTCATCATTTTTCCCATACATATCAATCAAAGCCGACTGAATGAGGACATTTCCATAATCAAAGCCCAATTTCATAACAAAACTGTGCATTTGTTTTCCAAAGAGTAGTTCCTTTCTGCGACTTGATAAATTCAACAATGCCACGAAAGACATAGCAGATGGATGTTTGTCCCACAATCTCATCTCTTCTAGGACTTGAACAGCTTCATGCAACAAATTATTGGCAGCATAAATAGAAACCATTGAATTCCATGAAATAACATCCTGAGGTGGAATACTCTGAAATGCTTTATTTGTATCAACCAAAATGCCACAAGCAGAGTAAAAATCCACCAATGCATTAGCTAAAAAGATATTTGATTCTAACCACCCCGTCTTAATCACAAGGGAATGTATCTCCCTGCCTTTGTCAATAAGTCTCTCTATACAACAACCTCGAATCAAATAACAAAATGTAAGCCCATTAGGCTCCACATTTTCCAACTTCATATCACTATACAATCTTAAGAACTCATTGGGCTTACCCGCTTCACAAATTCCACGTAAAACCAAGTTCCATACAGGTAAGTTTCGTTTTGGTAAGTCATAAAACACTTTGAAAGCAACATCTGTAAGACCCATTTGTATATACATATTAACAAGTGCACTGGCAATATATAAGTTCATACTAAATCCCAATACAACTACTCTACTGAGAATCTCAAGCCCTTCTTTGTATAAACCTGCGTTAGCACATATGCTCAATATAAAGGAAAAAGTGGACGAGTTCTCCCTGATACCTTGAGAAACCATTTTATTATACAAGTACACTGATTTTCTTGGAAACCCATAATGACTATATCCAGAAATCATAATATTCCATGTAACCACATCACGTTTAGGCATTTCTTCAAACAGGTGGAGTGCAGAGGTTAAAGACCCATACTTCACAAGGTCGTGTAATATTCTGTTCAGTGAGTAAACATCATTGTTGCTCACGGAGCAAAAGTCCAGGGGCAGAGTGGGCTGTAAGCTTTTCTGTTGGCACTTGTGAGAAAGAGTGGTTACGTATCTGCGTATAGCACACGACGCTATAACACGTTTGCTTTGCATTGGTTATGAATACTAGGGGTAAAGACGGGAAAAAACAAAATAATAGTGTAATAAGTAATGTTATTGCTATGTATTGACTTTATTGCTATGTATTGACCATATAAAAGAGATTAGTGGTGGGGAGCTGACTCTGAGCACGGGCCCAAGAACAATGTAGAAATTTACTTTTTAGGTTGGATAGGTGGTATTTTTAGTCAATATACTCACTTCACATTTATGTGAACCTGTTTGATTGGGCACAAAGTTTAAGAAAAAATGAAGACTTTTGGAGTTTGTGATTCTAAACAAGTCAAAAAGGGGGTCCAGCGTATTTGTGGTTATAAAAGCTTCTCAATAAGGCAAAATTGGAAGTTTAAGCTAAATTATTTCCAAATTTAGAAAGGATCATTCTTTTTGGAACGGACCAAAAAGGAAATAGGTTCACATAAACTCGAATGGAGGGAGTAAAAATTACGTAAATTTTTTCTTTAATCTTTTCTTATTTTTTCAACTTAAGGTGCTAAATAAATTCATTTTTGCTTTTATTTGATGAATTTGTTATCAATTATTGAAGAATTAACTTTTTCAAAAATATTCGATATTCAAGGACAAAATAAAATTGTTACTCCCTCCGTTCCAGTTTATGTCAACCTATTTCCTTTTGGTCCGTTCCAAAAAGAATGACCCTTTCTAAAATTGAAAACAATTTAGCTTAAACTTATAATTCTACCCTTAACGAGAAGCTTTTATAACCACACAAATACTCTGGACCCCTTTTTGACTTGTTTAGGACCACAAATTCCAAAAGTCTTCATTTTTTCTTAAACTCCGTGCCTAGTCAAACAGGTTCA